AATAATTTGGGTTTTTTTAGCGGATTAGGGTTTTCCGTCAATTCGAGATTTTAGTGGCCAAATTTTCATCGATTTAATTAACTCTTTATTGTAGTCCATATATGATTATATAATTAATCCATGATAATTCTATGATTTCTTTTGTGTGATGTAAATTTAATGGTCAATATAAGTTCATGCAGGGAAAGAGCATCTCAATCTTCACAAATTGATGAAAAAAATGAAAGTTAATAATGTAGTGTCATCATTTCTTATTGGATTCATAAAAAACAACATTTATAATGAATTTTAATAAATTTTTTGAATTTTTTTTATGTTTTAATCCGACCGATTCAACTGATTTTCGATTCGAATGGTCGATTCGTGGATCTGAATCGGTTTTTGAAGTGCCCAATCCGAGTCACCGATCCGCTTTATAAACCATTAGGCAAAACCGCAAAAGTATTTGTCTTTATTCTTTAATATTGGGGAAGAAATGGATCGGTAAAGGTTGGGTTTTTAATTGTCAAAAGATAACCGTTGAATATTCCACTTGAAATGCGGTCTCTTCCATCCTTGCACCGACACATTCGAAAGGAATAAAGCCAGAAAACGTTTATGTAAGGTGTCAACCTATATTGTACCAGTAAAGTGCCCTTAAAAATCCCATTAGATGAAGGTTTTTTTATGCTAGAAATCCGTTAGATTGATCATCTCGATCTCTTTATTCATAAAAATGCAAAAAAAAGAGCGATTTTCAATCTAAAAATAGTTTATTTTCTAACACATTATTGGAACCGTTCATTTTCAAGATTTTCAAATATTTATAGATCTGCTTCATCGTCACCCTTTCTAAAACTAAATATTTTATAATTTGGAGCAACAATAGATTTTTATATCATCGCAAGGCTTTACGGTACCTACACTGTATTTTCAACATGGTTTTGAGGTGCACCTTACTTCAATAGTATAAGGTTTACACCTTATTCAAACCTTACCCCATTAAAAAAAAAAAAAAAAGCCACCCCATCAAGAATTGTCATGGGTCCACTCTCTGTTTCGTCACCGTCTATTTCTTCGTTGGTCCGTGATGACAGTACAACTCTTGCTTTTTCTACGGTGATGGAGTGGCAGGGATCAATGCGACTTGGACTCAAAAGAAGGAACTGGGTAGGAGCCTTTTCCTTGTGATTAGGGTTTTTCTGGATTTCGATCAAGCGAAGCGTTTGTGACTCTGCAACATTCCTCGGAATTTCTTCTCATCTCTCTAGGTGAGCGGGCTTGTTTCCTCCCTTTTCTATGTTTTGTTCCATGAGTTTTTTTGACTTAGCTAGGATTTCGATGATGGAGGTGTGAGGGCTATCATGCCTTGTATCTGTACAAATTGCCATGTGTTTCATTCAACTCTCTGTGAAAACTTAGGGTTTATATGATATATGTTGAAAGCTTGCATGGTTTCTACCTAGGGTACTTTTTAAGTCTGTTTCCAAGATTTTCAGAAGGTTTTTAGTTTTTATGTTCATTTCAGAAACTTGATACTATGTTAGATGGGGACGATCTGCTTTGGTTTCTAATTAAGTATTGTGATGAATGTGGAATTTTTTTAAAAGATTAAATTTTCTGACCTAAATTAAGCGCTCCCTGGTTTTGTGGAAACCATTTAGGATGAAATTGAGATCTATGCTCAATCAATTATTGAATGGGAATATTTGTTGTGGATTGGAACTTATTTTGGAACTATGGTTGAAATCCGTGACTCTGCATGTAATTGAACTTTTGGACTGAAAATTAGTTAAATGGATGTCTGTTTTCTAAAATGGTCGATATTTAGCTGAAGCTTGTAGGAAAATAACTGAAACTTGTCAAAAGCACTGAATTTCCCCCAAAATCTCTTGAGAATGCCCAAGGTTGAAATATGAACCAGGCTTCGCAAAGGGCTGAGTTGGAAATTACCAACCTGAAACTTAATGGAGAAAGCAATCACCATCTTTTACCAACCTGAAACTTTGGTCATCGAGATCACATCTTCTCCTTCATTTGCAATTGTCATGCCTATATTGTGCTATAGGAAATTTGGACCAGATTTGCATGTTAATAAAGTATCTTCTCTAACAGTTAACATTATCAAAAATAAATAAATAACAGTTAACATTATCAAAAATAAATAAAGTATCTTCTCTGAAAAGAGTAGGATCCAGACAGACCCATATTTTGCACACACACGGGTCTCATCTAGACACTTAAAAAAAATGGATTTGGATGGAAAGTTTGGGTGAACATGAGTCCTGTATCCTTGGCCGCCCTAATCATTTCTTCTTCTCAAATTTTGGTTTTGTGTGTCTTGGTCGTCCAGATGATTTCTTCTCCTCCAATTTTGTGTGTGCGGGTGTGCAAGCATGTGTTCGTATCTATGTGTGGTGCAGCTATAAAAGTGGGTGATAACTCATAACAGACCATACTTAGATCATTGTTAAAAAAGATGGGGGTGGCCGCCTGGACGGTCAGGGGTACTAACTGCCTGGGCAGCCGCACCGCCCTGGGCAGCTGTGCAGCTGTGCAGCTGCCCAGGCGGCCACGGTGTAAAAGGGTCAGGGGGGTCGGGTTTAGGAGTTCTTATAAATGTGTGATCTTTTTAGGTTGTTATAAATCTATGATTTTGCATTATAAATTATAGACATAGCCATACTTTAGAGTTATATTTCCAAACATAGCCAAAAATGAAACCCTAAACATAAACATTTAAATCTACTAACCTTTCCAAACCCAATTGAGGTAGGCTTCAATCGCTTACTTTGGGATGCCCAAACCTCTCTTTTGCATCCTCTTTGGCCTCCAAAACGGCCCATGTCGTATGCCTTTCGATTTCACAAGATATCAAGAACATCGAGTTCGAAATCGATTTTCAAAAAAATTTCGATTCAAGGTAGAAAAAAATAAATTTTTGGGAGGAAAATCTGTCTCACTAGGGTTTTGGCAGGCCAAAATTCCTTCCATAACGTATTTCGCCCTTTTCAAGTGGGGAAAAATTACTAAAAAACCCTTTGGGCATGGCCATTTTTTTGGCTCGCCAAAAGGGCCTAGGGCAGGCGCCCGGGCAGTAGGAGCTGGGCACCTCCCTGGCCTACAGCCACGCCCAGGGCCATATAGCCTCAGGGTGGGACGGTGAGGCCTCCTAGCTGCCTAAGCGGCTGGGCGGGCGATTTTTTTACATAGCCTTGGATAATCATGGATGGTGGATGTGTTCAGTTTGAGTTCTCTATTCCATACTTCTACCAAGTATGGAATATCGTCCCCTTCTTTTATGGCACAAGCTTTTGAAACCCACTTTTTTTTAAGTGATAACTACCTGTACATGGCATGACGTACTTGTTTGTAACTCCCTTCTTTCATGGAGTGATGGTGTGAAATACTGGGGTTGGAGCCTCGCAAAAATAATGGGTGCACAAGCTAGCCCAATTTCTTCATATATCTAAAACAAATGATCTTGAAACGAAGGCTATCTTTTCTCATCTTGGAAATAACTAGATTTGCATTGACAACCAAAAAAAAATCAGTTACAGAATTTTGGTGTCAAGAAGGGAAATTATGAGAATGAGGGGAAAAAAAGGGACAAAAAGTGGTTACCTAGATGGGGATGACCCTTAGGCTGGGCACGGGTATGATGGCATAGCACCCAAGGGAGCAAGAGATGGCATGCCAAGGTGGATCCATAAGAGACTCCGCATGAAACCTAGAGAAAACTCTAGGTGGGATGTAGATCCCTGGGAGGATCTCCTAGTAAAGGTGAACCACCATGTGATTTCCCTTACATTATGATTTTTTTTGTTGTTTCTTGAGTGGATTCCCAAATTGGTTTCGTTACCACTATTTCCTAGTGGTAATGAGTTTAGAGAATATTGTATTTAGGATATAATTTTGTTCTTATATTGATTAGAACCTTTAGAATTATCTTCTTGTTCTTTACGAAAATTTTATTGATTGTTTTAGAGTTAAAGTATGTTTAGAACTTTAGATTAGGATTTATGGACCACCGTAACTACATTTATAGGCTGGTGGCCAAAGCAATCAATTTTTGAGAAATAACGTTTGAGTTCCATCAATTATGGTGAGAGACCATTCTTTGAGGAGTGATTCTCCAACTCTTTCTGTAGAGTGATTCTACAACTCTAGCTTAAGATTAGGGCAGTCTTCCTTACAAATTGGAGCCTTTTTTTCCCTTGTCTGGTGCTTTTCCTTCCAAAATTCCCTTCAACCAAATTCATCACCCAGTTTCTATCCCATGAAATAGACCTTCCCAAGCGCTAATAACAAATTCCACCTCATTCCAAACACATCACCCATACCCTTAAGTCCCCCAACCCTAAATTAACCCTTATCTCGCCTTATACCCTTCATGTCCATCATTTACCCTTGCTGGACCTGCTATTTTTAATCAACTTCAACCCCCATTAAACCCTCAAAATCTAGTCCTTTAAACCCTTAAAATCCAGTCCTTGTGGTTGCCCTAGTTATACCTATCCCTTCCCCTTCACATTAGCTCATCCTAATCTATCAATATCTCATATTCCTTAACCATATTCGTATTAGGAGACATTGATATCCCCCAAACATCCTGTTGTCCTGAACTTTGTAGCAAATGTAGTCCCACTAGGATTCCAATTTTCCCATCATCCAAACCCTAGTAGGATTCCTCCATTCGTTATGATACCCTAACCGTTTAGACTACTAAGCTTTGAGTTAATTGGAACTACCAAGTACTATGCCTACCCCCAAACTCTTTTTCTTTCTAAGCCCACCTCGTGTGTTACACCTGTGTAGGAGCCAAGCCCCCTTGGTCCTACAAGTTACAGTACAATCTCCATAACACATTACCTCTAGCCCAATCCCATATCCTGCTGCTAAGAACTACCAGCAGCAGCTCCTTCCTAGTTCTTAAAATATAACATGGTCTCTAATTCAGCGGCTTCAACAAAAAGGGCAAAGGGGTTACTGATGACCTACCCTCTAGGACAAAAACCAAATAATATTTCCCGTGTGGCGGGTGGTTCATATGACCCTTCAATGCTCCTCCAAAACTCTCAACTTGCTCGAAGAAGACAATTAGGAAGAAGTCGAGCATCCTGAGAAGTCGAAAAGCAATCAGAAGACAGAGAAATTGAAGCCCTCTCAATATTACTTGTTGTCTAACCTCTATTCACCTTGTTGAAGGATAATTAAGAGGATTGGACGTGCAGAAGCATTTTCAAAACTCAGTTTTAAATGCCAAGAAAAATATTTGCAACCTCATTATTGATGCTGGGAGCATCTACGGTGTTGCGTTATGGGAGCTTGTTTACAAGGTCAAATTGAAGACTGAGAAACATCCCACCCTTATAGGTTGCTTGGGTGAATGACACCACCATCCTAATTACTTTCTGATGTCTAATAATGTTTTCGATGACTAACTCTTACTCGATCAGGTTTGATCTGATGTGCGGTTTATGATTGTTAACCACATCCTTTTGGGATGTTCTTGGCTCTATGATAGCAAAGTGTAACACCTTCAAGGTTAAAAACATGAACATTACCTTGAAATCTTTGTTGGAAATAACTCCTCCCAAAGAGGAGAAGCCAGGCAACCTTTTCTAGAAGAAAGTTAAAGAGACCAAGGCTATTTATGCATTTATTGGGAGAGATGTCAGCCTGACCATCAGATGCCTGAAGTTGAGCATCTCCCAAAGGACCAGAAGGTCCTCCTGGACTTCCCAGATTTGGCCTTGGATGAGCTCCCTAACAAGTTACCAATCATGAGAGACATTCAGAATGCCATAGATCTGTGCCTGGAGTCTCTCTTCCTAAACTCCATGCCTACCACATGAGTTCTATAAACCATGCAGAGCTTGGCCAGTAAGTTGCAGATGATGGGATTTGTTCATGATGGCATGAGTCCATGAAAATACTTCCCTCCTCACTTTCAGTAAAGATGGTACATGATGCATATGCGGCTATGCATCAACATTCAAGCAATTAATAAGATTACAATGAAGTATTGCTTTCCTATTTCCCTAGGAGATGATATTCCTGCTGCTCAGATCCACTATCTTTTTTTAATATCGACCTACGCTATGACTATCACAAAAGCTTATCCTTTCAGGGATGAGTGGAGGACTGTTTTCAAGACAAAAGACGTTCTCTCTGAGTGGCTGGTTATGCCTTCTAGGCTGACCAACACTCCTAGCAAAATTGTGAGGATGATGACTCGTGCCTTGCTACCTTTCATAGGCAACTTTCG